CTTTTTCATTGAATTTCTGGTTTTAAATTTCACAGAAACTTTGAGTAGTCTTGTGCCCATTGTAACTGTTCAGTATTTAAATTTCTGAGATATTATCCTCCTCCTTTATTTTTCATACTGTTCTTAAAAAAGGCAAAAAAACAAAAAGAGACATTTCTCAGAATAGTTCTGGATCATTCCTTCTTTTTACCCGAGTCTTCCTCTCCCTGGTCTCAATTTGTTATTCATCTTCTCTTTTTTTGGCTTCAGCTTCCCACTGAACTTTTAATACAGTGCTGTCTGCTTTATGAGTCAGGATTCACAAAATCAGAAGGACTATTTCAAACAATTTGCTGACTTCCTCCAACTCAGAGGCTGTTAGACTCCTTAAAATTAATGTTTAAGTGGTTTAAAGTCTATCTAAGAACCAATCTTAATTTTACAATTTCCTGTGATGGAGAGCCCACTTCAGACTGAAAGGTTGTTGATTGTTAGTTGCTGTCATGTCTCAAAATTAATGAATTAATTAAAGAACACACTTGATTTTTCACCTTATTTAACTTCCTACTCCTGCCTGGCAGACCGTAGGGACACGCTTGACCTGTACAAACTCAAATTTCCTATGATCAAGGAAAGCACTGAGGTTTCCCCCCCCAAAACTCTTGGGTGAACTGTCATAATTCTCAATCCTTGTAATTAATTTGCTGGCTCATTTGTGAACTTCTTTAGTTTACAGTGCATCAGTATCTTCTCGGTATGGACATTAAAACTGGATGCTGTGTGAACGTGGTGGGGAATAAGCTTGTCTGAAAGATTTTGAAGTGTCCTTTCAGTAACTGATGAGATTATTTTTGGTCTGGCATTTATTTCAGTTCAGAAAAAAGGGTAATTATTTATTCTAAGAGGAGTTGTTATCATGTGAGTTGTTAAAAAAATCCAGTAAAAAAAATCTCCGAAGTAATAATCCATGATTAACACAAGCTAAATTGCCTCTATAATCTTAGCAATGTAATGTACCAGAGCAACTCTGAAAGTAGAGCAATAGTCCTGCCATCTGCACTGATTTTTGTGCATAGAGATACTCTGAGGAACACTGTGCTGTAAAGACAGACAGAAATGTCAATTACCAGCCTAGTGAAATTATTGCTTACAAGTGAAAACTTGAGCTCAGCTGAACTTGGATGTAAATGCATTCCCTTGAATTACTTAGTAAGACATCAAGGTATTGCCTTCTGTACCTTTAGTAAGACATCAAATATCTGTGTTTTATACCCAGATGCAGTTCAGCAGTGAGCAGTGAACCACCAAGGCAGGACACATGCATTCTGCACTGTTTCACTGCAGTCTAGCAAAGAAAACTCAGTCCCAGCCATCATAACGTGACTGTTGATCCAATGATGCAGAATTTCTTTTTTCTTTTGAACTTTTACCAGGAAAGTTTATAATTTATACATGGAGTAGCTCTCATTCCTTGGGCCAAAAGGGCCAAGCAGTCTTTGTTGAAGCAGGCACCTCTGGTTTGCTGACCAATTTGCTGCTCAGCTTAATGAACCAGGATCTGCCTGATTTGATTTTGCCAGTGTTTAGCAGCCTAATACGTCTGCCTGAAGTATTTACACATTAGGTAGTCGAGATGTAGTTCAGCCAAAGGCTCTCTGGGAGAGTGGGATGGAAAGGCCCCAAATTAGATTTGCCTCAAGCTACTGTGGCAGCTCGTGTAGACAGAGATGAATTTTGAAGCGAAGAAAGCCAAAGTGATTTTGTTTAACCATTTTCCTCACTTTTAAATAAGCTGGCGTATAATATCACAATTTGTTTTGGTTTTCCTCAATGAAAATTCTGAAGTCTTTAACTGCCAACCAGGAAGATTTATGGAGGTTATTTGGAGGTTAAAAAAGCCCCAAATCTCACTATTCCTAACATCTTTTAACCACCATGCATTCAGTCCTAAGAAAAAGTTAGCACTATAATTTTACAATCAGCATTATTATTCTGCTTCCTTCTGATTGTAGTGCTATTTTGGCTACTCAGCTGGGGTAAAAAAATTGCAGGAAAATCAGCCATACACATCTCAGTTAAATGTGAGTATTGTCTGTAATTGAGAGGGATATTTGATAATGTATTGCGAGTGAGATAGATTTGGGGCAATGTATATTATTTATTGAGATTCCTTGCATATCCCAGACTTTTGGCATTGTGAGAATTATTATGAAACACAAAAAAATAGAGATTATCTACATGTTTTTGTAATGAACACAAAGGGGAACAAGCCCTTACATTTCTTACTACATTAGGAAGGACTGTGCTTGTTTTTTATTAAGGTCCTGTTTCCTTTGATGCCTGTTCAACACTGTTTTGTTTAAGGAGATAACTTCTTCAGTGCATGTTCTCTAGCACTTATTTAACAGGATATCTGTTTTCTCTGTTGTCTTTTAAATCAGAAAGCAGTTTAATTGTTCAGTTTGGGTGGGGCTGTGCAATGGGGATGGGATGTACCCTTGGGTTGTGGCTCTTTCTGAGGCCTCTGGGATTTCAGCAAGGGATTGTTGCATCCAAATTCAGGTTTGTTTGGGTGTCAGTGAAGGGACATCTTTGAATTTTCTTCTTTTCATATTTTTATGCACTTATACAGCCAAATACACAAAGTGCAGCCCTGTTCTGTGAGATATATGAAAAGCTGTGCTGGAATCAGCTGGGCCCTGGCTGCTCTCAGCTTTGGTGTTTGAAAAGGGGCTACATCCTGAAGTACCTTGTTCTGTTAAATATTAGTGAGCCAATACAGTGAATATGGATCACTAAAGATGACTGTAGATGCATTATCTGCCTCGTGTGTTGTGTCTGGTAAATAGCTGGTTCCTGTGGGAAGCACCTGAAAAGGTAGAGGGTTTTTGGTAGCATATAAATTCTTTAAACAAAGTTCCATCACAGCAAACTCTAACATCAGTCTTCGAAGAAGGATAAAAGAGAAGGAAGAGATTCAGACAGCTTTTTCCTTTTGTAAACTCGCTGCTTTATAGGGGAAAAAATAGCTGGAAATAGCCTGTCTCGTCCCAAATGAAAGGTTGTGGATTAAGGCATTGCATTAGTGAAACAGCTGCACCAATGTGAATCAGAAAGTCCTCCAGCTTCAGCCATTATGGGTTTGTTTGCTTAGGTCTAATTTTGGAAGTCATTATAGCAAAGGTAAATGACTTGCACAGGAGACTACTGTAAACAAAAGACTCGATACATTTACTTTGGCATGAGCCTTGAGGAGTCTCGGGCCTTTCAGTGCCTCCTTTATGCGGGGCCTGTCCTGCTCTCACTGCGTGCCTGTGTGCAGGCAGCTCTCCCTCCCTCCCTGCCTCCCTCCCTCCCCTCTGACAGCTTCTTTCCCCCTGGCAGGTCGGATTTAAGAGTGGCAGCACCTGCTGCTGAATTGCTGGTGTGTAGCCGTGGAATACCTTTATGTTAGCTGCCCCTGGCTTTCTAAAGGTGCTGTGTTTTGCTCAAGTAAGAATCTGCTCCCTCCCAGTGCAGTACTGGAATACAATCTGTGTTCAAAAACTTCACTTTTAATCGTGTCTCCTTATTGGTTGCTTTTTGTGTTTTCTTCTTTTATCATTTAATAGCTTTACACTTACAGATTCTAAGCATGCCGATGCTTAGCTGAATTTTCTAGCTTTTTGGTGAAGAATGAACTATGAGAATGATAATTCCCTTCCCAGATCTGTGCCCATGTGGTTGAGTGAAGGCTCTGTCCATTCCACACTGACTTACACTTGTGTAGATGGGGAGGCAAATCCTGATGACAGAACGAGTGCCCATGCAGAGCCTGCTCCTTCCCTTTCACAAGGCTCATCAACAGTAAGGTTATATAGCTGCATTTTAAAAAGTTTATGCTCATGGGAATTAGTGTATTCCTGATATTTTATGATATGCTGTTCCTCTTAATTAATGTCTATTGTGAAAGATATTTTATGTCCTTTCTACATATCAGAACATGCTTCAGGTGAGACATTCTCATTAAAATTGACTGTGGCAATTGTCTTGTTTTATTTTAAAAAGGAGTTTTGCCAACTCTGCCCAGATTTGTTGAATTTAGTAAACACTCCAGGTAAGTACTAAAACCCTTGGTGTTGGCAGGGAGGTCTGTGGGAACTCCCACTGAGCTTTCTGCCTCTCACCCCCAAACCTTTGGATAAATACAGAGTATGTGCAGTCCCAGGAGCTCAGTCTCACTGCTCCAGCTGTGGAAGGCTGAGAGGAGGATCTTGGGGTGTCCCTAAATCCTGGTACTTGAAAGAATCTGTATTTGTTATTCTAAGCTCAGACAAAACTGGGTGTGTGTTATGGCAGGACCTGCCCCTGGGCTCCCTGTGACAGGGCAGGGAGGGTAGGGTTGTATTCTTGTTTTCTTCGTACAGCACAGGCCAGAGAAGGCTCAGAAAGGGATTATTTAAGTCTGTGAGGAAATACAGCTGCAACTGGAGGAATTTGCTGTTTAAGCCAGTTTCTTTTTCAGAGTTTCTGTTGCTATAGCCACCTTATTCCTAGTAGAACTGCTGGAAAGGATGGAAGTGGAAAAAAAAATTGGGCAGTTCTTTGTGCATTCCTTGTGCAACAGGTGCAGTGCTCATTTGTGAGCACAGACTGAGCTGAATCTCCTTCTATGCCCAGAGAATGCCTGCAGGCAGCACCTTCCACGAGAACCTGGGATTTCTGCATTTCATATCTCCTGGAGAGATGCCAAGCAGAATTTAATTGCTTGTGGTGAAATCTTTCTCTGTGGCTAGATAGGATATTGAATGCTTTTGAACTTCTAAATTGCCATGGGACGGCCTGATCGGGCACGGTTGTGTTTAATTTGCAGACAGATAATGAAAGATACTTCATCACACAGAGTTCTTTGATGCACTTCTTTGTTTTATAGATACGAGGCTTAACTGGAGGGCGAGGAAGGGAGCTCTTGCAATAACACACACATTTGTTTTTCTGTTTAGTAAATTGACAGATGTTTGGTTTGTCTTGTGTCTGCCCAGGACAGCACGTCTTGTCTCCTGGAGAAGCTGTTGGGAAAGGTCTAACGCCAGACGCTGCGAAAGATCTCGGTCTCCCCGAAGGGATTGCAGTGGCAGCATCTCTCATTGATGCACATGCTGGAGGACTAGGTACTCACTCATGGATTTGCTGTACTTGGAGACAGGAATTGTTGTCTAAATTTCAGAATGCCAGTTTTGTCACAGACTGCTTTTCTCCAGCCATTTGCTCCGATGCTATTCTTAAAAAAAAAACAAACCAAAATCATCACAGTAACTACTAGTGCTACAAATCTGTTTCCAGAAAGGGAGTATATCATTGTTATATGTCTTTTCAGCTGGATTTGCAAATTGTTTGTTAATTTCTGCTTGTTTCACTTTTGACTGAAACACCATGGTGTTGGAATGCCAACATGCTGAGAGTTTGCATCTTCTGTTGCTCAAAACTTTGAGGATAGACAAGGAAAAAAAAAACAACCAAACAACCATTCTGAGGGAGAAGCCTTATGTTCGAGGCTTGTTCATAGTTAGGATTCTTACTAGCTTTAGAAGTGATCCATGATTCAAAGCTTTAAGGTCTGATTTTTGACTTTTTTTTCTTTTCCAACACAATATTCTGATGTTCAGCCCCGGTTCATCTTTTCTGAAATATATTAGATGAGGCCCAACAAGTTCATTTTCTTATTACGCTGTTTGGCCTTATCCAAATACAGTCTATAACAAAGAGATTCAATGTAACTTTTTCTGCAGGAAATTGAGGGTTTTTTTAGTTTGCTGGTTTAGAAAACAGTCTTACCTCAGGAAGCTTCAAGTGTTATTGAAACAGTACTCTTTAATGGAAATCTATTGCTCATCAGAGGTTTTTTTCTAGATCTAACTGAAATATGATTAGGTGCTTAACTACCAGTTTTGTTTCAAACTTCTTGTGCTGTTTTAAATCTCATCCTTCTAGAAACTGTGGCCTGGAATATTTTTAGTGTTTAAATCCCTTTACTGTGCTTTTGGTGAAGTTAATCACAGAGGTTGCTTTTCTTGCTACCTGGAAAGGATTAGATGTAGCTCTGTGTGCAAAAAGGAAGACTGAGCTGCAGTGTCATATTTGTAGGTTTGTTGTCACTGACTTGAAAATATCTGTCAGTATCCTGATTGCATGAAAACATCTTGAAAACCGTGCCCTGGCAATTCTGTGTTCTTGGAAAAGAATATAGTGATAATCTGACCTGAAAGAATGTACTTGCTGCAAAACTGGGTTGTCACAGAGCATGTGAAAGTGGCAGTGGAAGGTCCTTGTTTAATTGGCATCATTATGGATCCAGAGCACAAAAAGTTCACCCATTTTTTCATGTGCTAAAATCAATCAATTGAATTTTAAAAATAATAGAGAGCAACTATCTGTTCCTTGATACAGACTTCTGTAAAGAAACTCTGACATTAGAAAGACTCAGCTGCTGGCATCTCTCAGGAAAGGGCTTCAGTGGATAGAGACAGTCTGCTAATCCGAATATGTTTTCCCAGATGGCACCACAAACACCAGCAGACTCCTGAAATTATTGCCAGGAGGAGAAAAACAACACACAGGTTATTGTTAGAGAGAGGGGGGCATTACAGAGGGAAGAGTCAGGAGGATAGTGGGAGAACCTGCATCATAATCACACCACAGCTCAGTCACAGCAGTCTGGGACAAGAGGAGGATTTACAGTGGAACTCATCCTTCTTTAATCTGGGAAGGGTAATAAATGTATTGGAAATGGTGTGGAAACTTAGTAGAAAGGACAGCAAAAATGGAAAGATTTTGACAGCAAAAGTGACAGCAGGATCAAAAGGAGAGTCAAAGAGTGCAGATATATGTAAAGAAAATATCCTGCAGGCTAAACCAGAATGACATGGTGGACATCTTGTTTTCAGTGTTAATAACTTTTGATGCAGTTCAGATCTGCTTTTGGCTGGATGTGAAGTGTGTTTTGGCTGAGCAAGTTCCTGAAGTTTATGAAAGCTTCAAAGTTTTGAATAGAATAAAGTTTTGAGTAGAATAAGGTAGAGGATTGTTTAGTGTGTATGTTTGAGGAGGTCATGTGTGACTCCTGAATCAGTCCGTCTGATACCTCTTATGGAAAAGTGAGGATCCAAGAGCCAAGAAGTCATCTCTTGCATTTTGACCTACTGTACCGATTTCAGAGAGTGTACAGATAAAACTCTGAGGATGGGAGGCCAGGCTTTTGGGGCTGGCCTCATAAAAATACTGTTTACATTGCACCTTTTCAAAAGGCATCAGATTGTTTCAACAAAAGGAGATGATTTATGGTGCAGTGTCTGAAATACCGTGTCACTGTGGAAGAGATCCAGAAGTACACATTGCTATGCACTGCTTGCCTTCCTAAAAATCTTCTGTGTGGTGCACAGACTTCTTGTTCTCAGCCTCAGACTATGAAAAATTCCACTTAAGCTAAAGGTGACAGTGACTTATATCAGCAATTATATAACTTTTAGCCAATATTACAGACTTACTTGCTGTCTGACTTTAATTAATCACAAATAGGAGGACTCTAACAATTCTAAACACTGGTGAAGCCACTGACTAAAATTCCAAAAAGGGCCATAATTTGTGTTTTGCAGAATGTATATTTTCTTAGCAATTAAAAAGATCTCTTCAGTTTTATGTTGTTTATGAAAATACATTTGCAGCATATGCTATCTAGTTTAATAGATTTCTTCCCTTTCAAGTGTGAACAGTATTTTTAACTCAAGAAATTATAATACAGTCTTGCTTAGTACAGGAATTTGCCTTGTAGACAGCCCTATTCAAAATTCCTGATATGCATTCATAATGTTGAAGGAGTGAAAAAATAAAGCATGAAGTAGAAGGCTTACTTTTAGCTTTTTGTTGTTACTAACTCTCCTTGTGACAGCTGTGCCACTTCGTAGTTACAAGTCAGTTTAGTTAAAGGGGCATGAGGATGGATTTTTTAAGGCTTTAACATTTTAGTCCTTAATTTTCTGATTACTTAAATGACTTCCAACCATGGAAATAACAGGATAACCATGGTGATCCCAATAAGACTAACCCCACCAGACTGATTTGATAACAGAGCATTGCAGTGATGATCTAAACAAGAGGGTGTTAATGAAATGTAGGATGTGAACCAGCCCTAACACTTGGCATCTTTCACAATGTCCAGAAAATGTTTTCCTGATCCTTCTACAGGGAAGGGAAGGGAAGGGAAGGGAAGGGAAGGGAAGGGAAGGGAAGGGAAGGGAAGGGAAGGTTATTTTTTTTTTAATCAGTATTGACATACCGGACTCCAAA